AGAGTTTCTGAGACTCTTTCAGTGAAATTATTGAGAAATCTCACTTAAATGTGCAGTTAATTCATTTTAATGTATTTTACATAAATTGCATTATGTTAGGTAAATTGTATTATTATCAACTATTTGTTATACTGTTTTATATGTTCTTAGTTTATGTACTCTTATTTGGTTTAGTCATATCTTTTAAGGAATGTTTCTGTATTGTTAATCATTCTGGCTTGCTTTCTCAGAAGGCCTCTCTGAAGAAGAGCAGTGACAGCAGCTCTTCACAGAACGGCCTGCTTTGACCTCTTAGATAGCTATAAAACCATCGCCGTGAAGATTCACAACTTGTCCTGTTTGATCCTGGGTCAGGAACTAGATAAGTTAGTGTGAGTTAGATTGTGTTGTTAGTTAGCGATAATCTTGGCGCTGTGACTGTGTGATGAAGTGTCTTTCCCCCTCCCTTTAGAGTCACAGCGCTCTCTGTGATCAGGGGTCCTAAGACAATAAAAAGAGAGGGGCAGGCAAATGTGCTTCAGAGCAGTAGGAGATTGTAACTGAAAGCACATCTCTGTCTGTTCTCCTCGCGAGTACTGAGAATCTAACTCTCTCTTGTCTTTCCTGTGTTATTTGCTGTGTTTAATAGGTGTCAACTCTGACACATTACTTCACATGTACCAAGTTTTTCTTTTTAGTCACCAGTTTGTCACCACCTTCAGCAATGACAACCCCGTCATGTACTGTCAACTCCATCAGATGAACCTTTTGTTGTTTTTTGTTTTAAATAATTTAGTTTGTTTGTTTCTTGAGAAGCATTTGTCTGTAAAATTAGTAAAATATCACTAATAGGGTATTTTAAAAATTATCTTATTTTTATTTTTGTCAGATGGTGACAACAAAGTTCTGGGTCAGGTCGATTAAAAATGTAATTATTTAAAAAAATGTTGCAACTGGGAGCCTGGACCTTAGCATTTTTACATTTCCAAAGCATTATTTGTCATATTTGCATAAGGTTGAGAAATAATAATAATAAAAAAATTGGGGAAAATTTAAACCCATTTTGTCCCTATTCTCAAGAATCACTGAATACATAGGCAGGTTGTGCATAAAACACTGTGGCCGCCACAGATTTTCAGTTTAAAAAGTGCCATTTAATATATTAATGTAAACGGTTAGATGACTAATGACTATATGTATTTTTGTAGGAATGAAAAAACGTGATCATGCAGAAAGGAGAGAGAAATGTACAAGAGAAGTTTGAAAACATTTCTGGATCACCACCAAGTAATGCAGGTAAGAGTTTTGGAACACTCATGATTAAAATGAAATCATAAATATTTTAGTTTTTATATTTCTACGAGATTCAGTTTTTAAGGCCACTATAAACAACGCTGTCAGTTAACATTACTCATGTTCTGTTTTTCAGTGACTCCTCCACTCACACTTGTGTTAATTGGGAACAAAAAATCCATTGAGATTGGATCAAAAAATATCTTACTGGACCATGACCAGGAGATACACGAGAAAGAGTTTTCATCAAGACTCTATGACCTATTGGGTCGTCAAATCTCTGTAATTAACCTGCTTGGGCTTCCAAGTATTGACACGATTCCAGAGATTCCAGAGTTTCCAGAAGATTGTATCTTTATCTTGCTGGTATCAAATGACCAGCAAAAAAACCAGTATTCTTCTGGATTGCAGTGGTTAGAAAAAACACTGGGAAAGGATCACAGCTCTTATGTGATGACAGTTGTAACTCATGACTCAGAAGAAATTTGTGAAAATGAACTTCAGAAACTGAAGGCAACAAGTGTTTTTTCTGAAAAAAGATACCATACATGTACAAGAAGTATGACGGATGGAAACGAAATAATAGCTCTTTTGGAAAAAATAGATGACATGGTCTCTGAAAATAGTCGGGTGACTGAAGGAAAACAAGTCAATCCAGAGGAAACATTAAAGACAGGTAAGATTCTTTAGAGCAACCCAAAATTAACAAATGGTTATCCGGAGTTAGAAGTCTGCCTTAAGCCTTACTATGAAATTTAAATATCTTGCACCAGAAGTCCATAAGTTTAGGGCAGGAGCTAAAGAGATGACCCAAAGTCCTATCATCTGAATTACATTTGTCAGATGTTGGTGAGACATAGGGAAAAAGCTTAAGTTTGGTTTTAGAAAAGTGCAGTCGATGGATAACTTTGTATTGAATAAGTTGCAATCTACAATTAATGAAACAGGTTTTAATTCTCGACAGACTTGTATCCCACAGCTCATCTGAAATCTCACCCAGTGTATCAGACGTCCAGGCCTCTTTTAAATGATTAGAAGGTGTAGTTGAAGTGAAAAGATTAATAAAATGAGAAATTAGCTTTTTAGAGGTAGGGGGCTTTTATATGAGCTCATAGAAGCAATGCTGCACCAGTATGGTTTCAAAGTGGGGAAAGTGCTTAGCTATCTCAATATAATGAGATAACTAGCTCATTGCTGAAATAATGAGTCATTATAATGACATGTTATAATGAGATACATTATAATTTAATCAAAGTAGTGGAAACTGGCTTCCATAGATATCTTTGGTTTGCCCCCTCTATGTTTATCCCTTTCTCATGTAAAAAAAAAGTCAATTAATATTTTATTTCCACCATAATTATGTTTTGCTTGCTTGATTATATTTTCTCTGTTATAGAAAGATAAAATAGTAAATAGGAGCATTTTCATGTACTATTACTATGAAAACTATAAACTTTTTTTTCTGACATTTTGTAGTTGAAGAGATGGTGACTGATGAGGAATTTGAGGTAAATAATAATTTCCTTTGCTAATTATTACAGTGAATTCAGTGGTGTCAAAGAGTATTTCACTCCACCGATTTACACCACTGATTTCCTATTGTTTTGCATGTTTGTCAAACTTCTGTGTTTCAAAACATTTTGTTTTGTTATTAAAGGAGAAAGAACATCCAAACTTGCAGCGAGTGCCTCTAAAACTTAGCAGCAACAACTGCAGTCAGGCATTTCTGATAGCTAGCAATGAGTCTTTTACAACTATGGAAGAATTTAGTTCCACTCATCTTTACAGCATTATTGTAATTCAGTGACATTGTAGGGTTTTCCAGCAGCCTTTTTAAGGTCATGCCACAGCAACTAAATGCGAGTCAGTTCAGAACTTTGATTAGGCCAAACGAGGTGAACTTGCTGGTCCAATGTTTTGGATCATGGTCTTGATGCAGAACCCAAGTTGGTTTCAGCTTCAGCTGACCAAAACATTCTCCTTCAGAATGTTTTGGTCAGCAGCACAATTCATGGTTTAATTTATCACAGCATGTCTTCCAGATCCTGAAGCAGCAAAACAGCCCAGACCATTCCTGAATTTCTTTGGATCTTTGCTTGATGTCTAGTTTTTGAGGATCTTTTGGTGTATTTCACTTTGTCAGGCAGGTCCTATTAAGTTAACAGAGAACAGGTGTGGCATTAATCAGGCTGGTGTAAGGCTAGAAACAGTGAACTCAGGTGTGATAAACTAGTTAAGTTATGTTTTAACAGGGGAGGCCAATCACTTTTTCACACATGGACAAGAGGGTTTGGATTTTTTTTTCTCTCATAATAATCAACATCTTTGTTTAAAAACTGTATTTTATGTTTACTTGTGTTGCGTTTGCCTAATATTTAAATTGGTTTGATCTTCTGAAACACTGAATGAAATCTGGACCAATACAGACACCTTTTCACATCACTGTTTTTTTGTCAGTCATAGATATTACATTCTAGATTTATGGATTTTACCAATGAGTTGAAATCTGATGCGTGATCTTTGCCATTTTTTGTTCAACATTTTACTGTTGCTTAAAATACAGACAGCTGGTCTCTTTAGTTACTACTTCAGTTAATTACTTTTGCTTTTTTTTTTACAAAAAGTGGAGATGCAACTTAATATGTTAAACATAACCTAGAATGTTAAGAGTGATTAATTGCAATCGGTGGTCTTTAAACTCCTTTTCACAGGGTGAGCATTTCTGCACCACTGCTAAATGTTGACACTAACCAAAATAGCTCAGAAAAAGATACAGAAAAAAAAAATCTAAATGGTATAAGCAAGCGCCAATATATTTTCAATGCTTTAACAGGATGCTCCTGAGTACATCAAAGATGACAACTGTACACACAGACAGACAGAAGTCTCTCCTGAACAATGTCAACCAACAGACAAAGGTAATACAACTTTACAACTGAACCAATCAAACAGTAACCATATTAGACATGAACAGTATTAGTGAGTAAACAAAGCAAATAAGTTAGCAAGTAAGTATTTCTTAACCCATTACAGTCATGATCAGGGCTGGACTTAGGAGGCTTTGCGCCCCTGGCCCCTTGAGCCAACGTGCAGGCCCTATACCGATCCCACAAATAACCTTATCTACCTACCAGGTCACAAAAATCCGCCACTGTCCATAAGAAAGAAAAACTTAATGTTTTTTATTCATCCTCTCTGTACTGTATTTATTTATCCTTCATTTCTATCTTTATCTGTCTCCATCCCTCTTTCAGTTTTTGTCAATTGAATCTTTCTCTGTAATTATCAGGTTTATTTCCTTACTAAGTTCTGCTAGTTAGGGTGAGTATTTCTTCTCTGACAGCCAAATGTGATGAAAACATTTATTTGGTGATGACTGGCTTTTATTCAGCTACGTGTCAGGGAAGGGCATACACTCTAAAAAGAAAGTAGTTGATCCAACTTAATTGAAATGCTTCAATTGGTAACAAGCAATTCAGTGAAGTTTATCCAACTTAACTTAAGTTTAACCAATTCAATATATTCTAATCATCCAACTCTTATTTATTTTTTAAACAAATTTATTAAGTATGTTTAAGATGGCAGATCAGTCAGTCTTACTCAAATAATTTAGTTTACGTCAAATAAAGAAGTAAATTAATAAAGGATCTAATTTTTCCAAAGGGCTTTTTTTTTTAGCTGAGGCAGCCTTTATTTGAGCATAGTTATTCAGGAAAGTGGTTAATGACAGAGAGGAAGACCTGCAGCTAAGGTCATCAGGTTGGACATCAAACTTGCGAAGGCTGCGTCCAGGACTAAGTCCTCCTTATGTGGATTGTGCTCTACCCCTGCGCCAACACAGACAGGATCCTGGTTGATACAGAATTTGTCCCTGGTAAGCTTGAGACATGGTGTCAGATGTGGGATACAAATTATGGTATTGAACTTAATTCTTTCAAATAAAGTCAAAGTAAAAAAATCATTTAAGGAAAAGATTTGTAACTTTTAAGTTAGTGTATTTAGATGACACTGTAAAAAGAGTATTAGTCTGCAAACTAAGAAGTTTGCAGCCCAAAATATTTAGTTTGGAACTATTTAAGTTTGAGTTGACTTTCTGTAGAATCAAGTCAAAGAGATTTTAAATGTTTATTAGAACAACATAAATGATTTGAGTAAATGTGACTTAAATTTGTCATGTTAAACCCCCTTATGAATTAAGTTATAAAATATTAGCAAATTGAGATGGAAGGACTTAGTGAATTGAGTTGGATGATCATAATAAATTGGGTTGGTCAGACGTAGGATATGAAATTGGCATTGAACTCAATTGTTTCAAGTAAAATCAAAGTGAAAAGTTCCTTTAGGTTAAAGATTTATAAGTTTTGAGTTAATTGAACACAAAAATGTAAGTTGTCATAGCAAAAGCAAAAGAATTAAGTTAAATTATTGTATATAAGTCCATAAGATGAATTGTAGCCCAAATTCAATTTTAGAGTGTAACACACTTGAGCTATTTTGTACACTTGACCCTAGTTCCAGCTAGGAGCAGCAGATCAGACAAAGCTCCAGGTTATAGCAGGACTGTAGAACTGCTGTAGCAAGGCTAACATTTTGAGAAGCGGAGAGGGACGATGGTTCTATTCTATGTACAATATGAGGTTTGGAAACCTCATATTGTACATTTTTGGATATTTTCTTCATCGCCTCCTTAATTCCCTCCAAGTTGAAAAACGGACACAAGGCATTCCTGATATTTACTGGCATTTAATTGGACACAGGTGTCTGTAACGATGCCGTGAGAACTGTACAAAAAACATAAAATAATAAATTTTTATACAGAAAGGCATTCTCATAGAGAATAGTCAAATAATATTAAACAGCAAAACATTTACAATACTGTAATGTAAAAAAAATATCTTAAGTACTGACTTAAAAAAAATATTGACATTCTGTGTAACCTTTGTACATACGTGGCTAACAGAAACTTGACAAATCCTCCACAGATAAGCATTCTATTTCCACACAAACACGTAAATTATAAATTGCATACCTCATCGGCTGCTTTAGCTTGAAGGGGTTAAGAAACTCTCCAATCTACCGAGTGCAGCATGTAACTGAAAATATTGATCAAAACCAAACAAAAAATCAAACATTGGTTCCACTCTGAAAACATTTGCACAACCTTTAAATACACATTTGAAAACAACAATATGGCTATTACAATCAGCTTTTCATGAACATAAAATATTTTATGTTACTTTAACTTATTTTTTCTAACTTAAAACCATTAACTTAACTTAAACTGCATAACTACCATTTATGGCAGCCACACCTAGGCCTGTCACAATGAAGAATAAATTAATTAATTCCATGATAAGTTAAAAGAAACTCAATAATTTTCATTTGCTTAATTTATCACTTTTCATTCTCTTTTTACCAAAAACTGAATGATAAAAATCGTCAGTCTGGTGCTTCAGTCTCAACTAGTATTTTTTTGAAAGATAACTTTGTTTACAGAGACTTCATAATTCATTTCAGTTGTTGTTTCTGTTGTTGTCTTTATTTA